AAGTTGTGTAGCAGTATAATGCAGTTGTTTCTGTCCTGTAGCAGTCTCCCCTTTAAAATTGTACTCTGATCCTTTTACGCGGTATGAAAAGGGGGGAAAAAACGCTTGGACACTGCTAGCACAGGGCGCCCACACAAACACAAAGCAGGAGATGAAGCATTGCTGAATATGTTTCCAAACCAACTTCATTCTAAGCCAAAGACTAGAAAATATGGTGAAGCAAATCTTCTCTTTGGCTTCACCTGCACACGTGCTGAGGTAGGTCTCCCTGCAGGATTTCCCTGTCGGGAGCAGCGCTGGGCTGTTCAGATCAAACAGGATCCCACAGCCGTTTATGTTTTTGAACCCATTTCGCACAGAGAGGCATTTTTTGAAAAATGTATTGATGCAATGTTGAATATTATTACACAGGAAAAAACAACTACACGTAAAATAATCACAGCTTGACGCCTCTGCCTTTGTAAATGGAGGAACAGTAACTGCGTCTAAAACCTGCAGACAGTCAGATTAACAGGATTTTGTCTCTATCATTCTGCAATTCATCTCATGTAAACAATAACGTGGCCACAGCGTGACGTGAATAAAGACACATACCTTTGACGTTGTGATGAACTCTGTATTCCTCGTCCACATGTAAACGCAAAAAAGGAGTTTTAAAAAATCTCAGTTTTCAGTGATTCAAACGCCGTTTACGTGGACGAAACAGCTGCGTTTTCAAAAACACCCGTGTAGGTGTGGACGCAGCGTAAAAGAGTTAGTAGTTTATTTTATTACTGCCTGTAATTTATTGCAGATTACTTGTATTTGCTTAATTGTTCACTAAATGTTTGAGGTGTGAAATAAACAGCGATGGAGCAAAATATGGCTGTGTGGTTGGAGGATGTGTTCGTGCGTGCATGGTTGATGAAGGTGATAAAGTCCATTAAGGTTTTGAGGATGCAACATTCTGTTGAGGAAATCGGATGAATTCACAGATAAATTGTACATCAGTGTTAAGATCAGCTTGACCTTCAGTGTGTTTTAATAACTGTTCTTACAGTTTTTGGACCACGGCTGAATGAAAGCGCCCGCTGCAGCGTGTCGCTGTCAGCAGCTGCACGCTGCAGCGGTTTAGAAAGAGGAACATGGAGGGTCTGTTACTGCAGTAAGTACAGTGGAACCCCGACTTACGAAGACCCCATTTAACGAAAAATTCACGTTACGAAGGCACTTAACGGCAATATTTCTGCCCGTGTTACAGCAAAATACCCGCGTAACGAAATCCGCTGGCTCTGATTGGCTGAGCCCAGAATTCCCACAATGCCTTCCGAATCATGTGACAACCCCTTGGCTTTCGTACTTGCTCTTCGCCGTTCCACTTGAACGACGTATTGTTGCAGTTAGCAGTTAGCCTGTCGTTAACTCAAAAGGCGCAATGGCTGCTTCGACCTACGAAAATCTTCGATTACGAAAGAGCCTCGGGAGCAAATTAGTTTTGTAAGTCAGGGTTCCACTGGACTGTGGTTTATGACTGAATGACTTTTGAACTGAAATTAATCTTGAGGTGAGTTGATTTGCCTTTTTACCGTCACTAAAAGTGAAACACTAAATGCATGAAGCCTAACTTGCATCATGGCTCTCAGAAGCTG